CCTCCTGACTATATGTCTGAAGTATGAGAGACCAAGTTTGGCCATCTTGGCCTCCAAGGAGCACTCTGGCTGCACTTCTTCCAAAATGGATCTATTGGTTCTTTTGGCAGCCCATGGCACTTTGAATATTCTCCTCGAACACCGTAACTCAAAAGCATCAATTCTTCTACGATCTTCCTTATTCACTGTCCAGCTTTTGCATGCATATGTGGTTATTGAAAATACCATGGCTTGGGTCAGGCGCACCTTAGTCCTCAAGCTGACATCTTTGCTCTTCAACAATTCTTCATAGTAGTATGTTATTATACTTTTTATTCTCATTGGTTCTTTTGTGTTATTTTTCAGTTTTCTTTGTTAGATTTGTCAGTACTTTGTCAATTTTATTGATCTTTTCAAAGAGCCAGCTTTTTGTCTTGTTGATTTTTTTTCTACTGTTTTTCTGTTTGATTTCTTTATCTCTAATCTTTATTACTTCTTTTCTTCTGGTGACCATAGGCTCACTTTGCTGCTGTTTCTCGACTTATTGGAAATGCTGGGTAAAGGTGCTAACTTTGATTTTTTTTTTTTTCCCTTCTTTTTGGATATGTGCATTTATTGCTATAAATTGTCCTCAGGTAACTACTTTTCCTGTATCTCAAATGTTTGGGTATGTTTTGTTTTCATTCTCATTTGATTTAAGGAATTTTTTAAATTTCATCTGTTACCCAGTTTTTTTTGTTGTTGTTGCTATGTACTGACACTTTTTTTCTTTAGCTTTCAAAACAAAAAAAAAATGTTTTATTTGATATTAATATAACCACTGTGGTATGGCGCTTTAGGGATAAGTACTAGACTCTTAACCATAGGTTGGTGTTACTTAGCAACAACAACATGCTAACTTTATTTTTTGTTAGGTTTCACCTGATATCTTGTTCCATCCTTTACTTTCAATGCTTCTGTGTCTGTCTGGGGACTATCTCCTGCATTTGCTATATATCTGGATTATGTTCTTAAATCTTTTCTGCCAGTCTGTCCTTTAACTAGAGAATAAATCTATTTACATTTATTGTTACTACTAATATTTTGGGAAGGAGTTCTGGTAGTGTAGTGGTTACGAATCAGGCTGCTAACCTCAGGATCAGCAGTTTGAAACTACCAGCTGTTCCACGGGAGAAAGATGAGGCTCCCCATAAAGATTTACAGCCTCGGAAACCCTGTACAGGGTCGCTGTGAGTCAGAACCGACTCCACGGCACATAACAACAACAACAACAATATTTTGTGGGAGTGCAGTGGTGCTGCAGGGTAAGTCCTGGACTGCAAATAACAAGGACCGAAGTTCAAGTTCATCAGACACTGCCCAAGAGGAAGATGAGACTTTCTGCTCCCGAAGAGATTTTAACAGCCTTCGAAACCCTACACAGTGTTGCTATGAGTCAGAACCGACTCAGCAGCACTTGACAACAACAATGTATTTGATATTATTCCTGTCATTTTATGTGCTTTAACTTACTCTATAAAGTGTTGAAGAGCAAAGATGTCATTTTGAGGACTAAGGTGTGCCTGACCCAAGCCATGGGATTCTCAATCACCTCATATGCATATGAAAGTTGGATCATGAATAAGGAAGACGTGGAAGAATTTTGATGCATTTGAGTTATGGTGTTAGAGGAGAGTATTGAAAGTACCATGGACTGCCAGAAGAACAAATAGATCTGTGTTGGAAGAAGTATAGCCAGAATGTGCCTTGGAAACCAGGATGGCCAGACTTCGTCTTTCATACTTCGTACATATTGTCAGGAAGAACCAGTCACTGGAGAAGAATATCATGTTTGGTAAAGTGGAGGGTTGGAGAAAAAGAGGAAGACCCCCCAATGAGATCAATGGGCTTAAATGTAGCAACGATTGTGAGATTGGCCCAGGTTGGGGCAGTGTTTCATTCTGTTGTGTATAGGGTTGCTATGAGATGGTGCCAACTCCATGGCACCTAACAACAATAACTTTCTCTTGCATTTTGTTTGTTTTTCTTTTTGCCTACTTTTCTTTTGGATTTATACGCTCTACAAGAACCTAAGTCTATTTTAACTTAAGTTGTTAAATGCTGTTGAATTGATAGGACTCATAGCAACCCTAATACAACAGACCGAAACACTGCCTGGTTCTGCACCATCCTCATAACTGTTGCTATGTTTGAGACCATTGTTCCAGCCACTGTATCATTCTGTCTCATTGAGCGTCTTCCTCTTTTTTTGTTGACCTTAAATTCTACCAAGCATGGTGTCTTCCTTAGGGACTAGTTCCTCCTGCTAATGTATCTAAAGTACATGAGACAAAGTCTCTTCGTCCCGTCCTCACTTCCAAAATAGATATGTTTTTTCTTCTTGCAGTCCATTATATATTTGACATTCTTTGCCAACACTATAATTCAAATGCATCAGTTCTTCTTTGACTTTGTCTTCCAGTTTACTCATCCTGTTTTTTGAGTATCTAATCTGCTTTTCCACTACTTGTCTGTCAGTTTGTCCTACTGTGGTGGCTTGTGAGTTGCTGTGATTCTGGAAGCTATGCCACTGGTATTTTAAATACCAGCAGGGTAACCCATGGTGGATAGGTTTCAGATGACCTTCCAGACAAAGACAGACTAGCAAGAAAGAATGACGAACTGCTTCCGAATATTTAGTCACTGAAAACCTTATAAATAGTAAAGAAACACTGTCAGATATAGTGCTGGAGGTTAGCCCAGGATCGGGCAGTGTTTTGTTCTATTGTGCATAGGGTCACTATGAGTCAGTACTGACTTGATGGCTCCTAACAACAAATCTGCTTTTGGAGTCCTGGTGTGGTGCTGTGGGCTAATGCGTCAGATTGCAAACTCGTTTGAACTGCAGGGTTGGTGGTTCAAGCTTACCAGCTGCTCCTTGGAATCCCTATACAGGATTGCTATGGGTCAGAATCGACTCGACGGCACTTAACAACAAAAACAATCTGCATATGGACTCCTGATGTGGTGCTGTGGGTTAATGCGCTGGACTGCAAAGTCTGTTTGAACCACAGTGTCGGCTGTTCAAGTTCACCAGCTGCTCCTCAGAGACCCTATGTAAGGTTACTGTGAGTCAGAACTGAATGGACAGCACTTAACAACAACAGACTGTTTTTGGAATCCTGGCACTGTGGGTTAATGTGATGAACTGCAACGTTGGTTTGAATTGCAAGATCAGCAGCTCAAGCTTACCTCACAGGGTCACTATGAGTTGGAACTGACTCCACAGCACTTAACAACAACAATCTGTGTATTTGGATTCCTGGTGTGGTGCTGTATAAGCACTAGATCACAAGGTTGATTTGAACCACAAGGTGGCGGTTCAAACCCCCCAGCTGCTTCTCGGAAACCCTATAAGGGTTGCTGTAAATTGGAATCGACTTGACAGCACTCAGCATCAACAGTTCTAAATTTTATTTATTGTGTTTTTTCATTTCTATAAACATTGTTTAGCCCTTTTCCAAAATTGATTCTTCTTTGTCTCAACTTTCAAGCTTCTCTTATTTCTTAAATATAATATTGAAAAATTATATCAATATCTGATAAATTTAACTGTCTAAAGTCTTTTTAGATACAATTTTACTGTCTTTTTCTGATAGTTCTTTTAGTGTGTTTTGTTTTGTTTTTAATGTCTTAACTGGGTTTTACTGTGAGCCTCTCATTTTCTTTAAAACTCTGTGTTGGAAATTTGGGATCTGGGTTGAAGGTGGGTATTAAGAGAGGAACCTGAATTTGCTTTGGTCAGTTGCCCAGGGGTACTAAGGACCACATTCCGTTACAGTCTGTGATTATTCTGATCTTATAGGTAGTGGTGAATCTGGACTGCAAAACCCACCTGAGGGCTGATTTATGGTTATGAATTCTCAAGGGAAAGTTCTTGTTTTCCCCTGTGCCCCATACTAAGCTCATAACAAGTGAGATTTTTTTACTGTCCTTTTCTGCCCTGTAGCTTTATTTCTCACTCTCACTTTGATGAGGTTGTAATTCTTTGCAAGCCTCTAATTTTTATAGGAACTTTCTCTTGACCTTCCCTTTTTGGGAAGATTTGATCTACTTCTTGGAGAGAGACTCTGTCATAGGCTCTGTATGTACCCCATGTAGTCATCTTGACAGAAAGTCAGGGTCTCTAAGGTTTGATATAAACCCTTAAGGCAAAAGTCAGCCTTAGTGCTTGCTTACCTCCCAGGGTTTCTGCTCTCACTTCAATTTTGGTGTATGTGAAATTTTACCTTTCATTCCAGTTAAATTTATTTTAAAGATGTTTTTATTATGTTAATCAGTTTAAATACTTCAGTTAGAAAGATCATATAAGATTTCTAGTCAGTCCACTGACTAGAAATTCTTTTTTCTTTTTTTTCCTCTAGTCTTTGGTGGATGAGTGGCTGGATAGCTACAAGCAAGACCAGGATACAGGATTCTTGGAGCTCATTAACTTTTTCATTCGATCTTGTGGCTGTAAAGGTAAAGAGACCCCTAGCCCTTTCTTGATTCCCAACCTTTTCCTCCTGTGTTATGATACTCTTTCTCTGTTTAGATGGGTAGGATGAAATCTAAGTAAAGGGAGTAGGTTGCATTTACTTTGAACTACATTTTTATTGGTAAATAAGGGAGTTGATCTAGTAGGCAGCAGTGTTGGTTTAGAGGCAAGACCCTATGAGGAAAAAGAACTAATCGTGCTAATATGCTAGATAATGGTGCAGTGGTGCTCACAAATTTGAAAATGAGCCATCTGACACAGTTTCGGTCTTCCACTTTCTAAATGAATTTTTTACTTCTCAACCACGTTATCCCACATTTCTGTGGAGCCCCCAGGTTACCAGAGGCTAATTATTTAGGCAGATAGTCTCAGGCAGACAAGCTACAGGTCTAGTCTTATTGCTTTTTGTTTATTTCTTATTTAAATCATAGTTTCCACTGAATGATTCCCTTTGGAGTTTCTAAAGCGGTTATCTTACAGAGGTGGCCTGTGTACTATGGATGGTAGCAGAATTGTGACTAGGACTCAGGTCTTCTGATTTGCCACCTAAGTTCTTTTCAATATATTCAGTAGCTCACCTTTAGATGTATGTGTAAATCGTCATGGCACCTTGTATGCTCCTTGTAATTATGTCATCTCCTGCATTTCTCAGGCATTGTTACACTTGAGATGTTCAAGAAGATGTCCAACTCTGAGATCATCCGACACCTAACAGAACAGTTTAACGAGGTGGAGGAAGAAAGAGAGCCAGGATCAATCATCTTGCCCCTCTCATTTCAAAGCATATGGCCCATTGTCTCATTCTCAAATAGAGTACCTTTGTAGAAGTTTACAATCTTTTGGGGATAAAGGGACATAGGAGTGTTATCTAAATGTGCCTTTTGTGTAAGGGAAACTAGTGGGAAATGAAGCTTAACAGAGACATACTTTACTGCTGAGTTTTGACAAATTCCCTGTGGCTTCATGGACCTGGTAGTAACTTTCCTACTCTTTATAAACCCTTCTGTAGGACTCGGGGGACTATCCCTTGACAACTCCAGGTCCCTCCTGGAAGAAGTTCCAGGGCAACTTCTGTGAGTTTGTGAGAACACTGGTCTACCAGTGCCAGTACAGCCTGCTCTATGACGGCTTCCCTATGGACAACCTCATCTCCCTGCTCACTGGCCTCTCGGACTCTCAAGTCCGTGCCTTCCGTCATACGAGCACCCTGGCTGGTAAGCGCTCAGTTTTACTGTAATCATTGGCCTATGATGAGGCCCTGGTGGTACTGTGGGTTAGACATTGGGCTGTGAACCACATGATCAATAATTTAAACCCTCCAATCACTCCATAGGAGAAAGATGAGAGTGTCTGATCCCATAAAGATGTACAGACTTAGAAACCCTGTATAGGTTTACTGCGAGTTGGAATTAGCTCGGTGACATAGGGTTTTTAGTGGGAGACATTGTTCTGAGGGTTGGCAGGACTTTCCTCTGTTCTCCAGTCCTAGTTCTTCCTACCTACATTTTAGCTGTTCAAGTTCATACTATTTTTTTGCAAAACCTCACTGAAGTTTCCACTAGTGCAATTTTAAAAAGGGATGGATCATAATGACAATTTCCTAGCCTTAACATCTTTTTCATAGCTCACAGTTGGGAATGTGCAGAGGATTAAAAAAGGCCAAAAGAGTTGAAAAAAAGAAAAGATAAAAGGAAAACAGTTAACCTGGGAACAATCAGACATACAATGTTAGGATCACCCTGCTCTGGATTTTCATTTTCACTGCCCCTTTTTCCTTCTTTTTGAACCCACCCTCCCTCTTGTGGGGTCCTGGTATGGTGCTGTAGGATAAGTATGGGACTGCTAACCGCAAGGTTCATGGCTCAAACCCACCAGCTGCACTTCTGAAATTCTACTAAACAAGATGGCTGAGCTGGAACCAGCTTGAGGGTACTTAACAACATCTCCCTCTTTTGACCTAAGTAATGATATTCTCATCTTGTTTCCTTGACTCAAAGCCATGACGCTGATGACCTCCTTGGTAAAAGTTGCCCTGCAACTGAGTCTGCACAAAGACAACAATCAGCGACAGTATGAGGCTGAACGAAGCAAAGGGCCAGGACAGAGAGCACCAGAGCGGCTGGAGAGCCTGCTGGAGAAACGCAAAGAGGTGAAGAAAGTGTCCTCTCTCCCAGCTTCCACCCCCTGCTATGGCAGACCACCTTCTCATTTCTCTGTATTTCATTTGGGCAGTCACAGGCCCCCAAGCAACCTTTAGGATAATGAAGAATGTTGTTGTTATTGTTAAGTGCCGTTGAGTGGGATCTGACTCATAGCAACCCTGTATAGGGTTTCCAAGGAGCCGTGAGCTTGAACTGCTGACTGTGGTTCAAACCAACCTTGCAGTTCAGTATTTTAATCCACAGCACCATTCTTTCTGTTGTTAAATGACTTAGAGTTGGTTCCAACCCATAGCGACCCTGTGTAGGGTTTCCGAGGAGCAGCTGGTGAGCTTGAACTGCCAACCTTGAGATTCAAACCAACTTTGCAGTCCAGCGCATTTGCCCACTGTGGGTTCTATAAAAAACCTTTCTGATTTTATAGTGAATCTAAAAGTTCCACTTTCACTCAGTTTTTTAATTTGGCGTTCCTGATCAGATATGTGTAAGTGTCCTTTCTAGCAAGGTTAGCAAGAAGTTAATTTTAACTTTCTTGTGAAGTGTATCATATGCAGGTCCTCACAGATGTACCAGAGGCTGACTACTGAGAAGGGAGGCCAGGATTTTTAAGGAATAAAGTCCACGCTGTCACTCACTCCTAGGGTTGAATTCTATTCCAGTTAGCTGCTAACTCCATGGCCCTATGTAACCTCTGTAAGCTTTACATTCCTTGTCTTTGTTGTTGTTAAGTACCGTCGAGTTTGTTCCGACTCATTAGTGACCCTGTTTAGGGTTTCTGAAGAGTGTCTGGTGAGTTTGAACTGCCAACCTTATGTGCAAACCGACCTTGAGGTTGAGTACTTATCCTGTAGCACCACACCAGGACTCCTCTCTTGTCTTTGAAAGGGGATAATTTTCAGCATTTTGTAAAGATGAAGTGAGATGAGTAAATTGCCTAGCCTGGCACATTATAGGTACTTGCATTTTCACTCAAAAGACCACCACTGGACCACGTACCATCACAATCTTTGGTATTCATTAAATTTTCAAACGTCTTCTGTGCCTGACACTTTTTTTTTTTTAATGTTTTATTGTGAACTATGTGATAGTTTACATGGGAGAACATTAGTTTTACATTCATCCTATCGTATGTCATTTCATTGCCATGGTTACAGTCCCCTCCATGCGTCATCAACGAACCAAAGGGTATATACTAAAAGCCTGCCCCCCCGGTCATCAGCACACAGCCCCTCTCCTTGTCTGTGTCTAAATTCCCCAGCTGCTCCATCTCTCCATGTCATCATCTCTGCCTCCATCTCAGGCATCACTGCTTCTCTGGGTACGGTCCCGCCCTCCACTCTTCTCCCTTGATGGTTCCCGGACCTCCGCTCCTAGACTACAAAGTCAGTCACTCCCCTCCTTGCTACAAAACATTTACTTTTACATTTCCAACCCTCACAGTCAGCCCTGATAACAATTATTCACTATTGTATCTGAAGAAACCTATCCGCATTTCCTTTCATCAGCCCTGCCTAGACAGATTGGATACTACTCTGTGGCAATTCTACCTTCCTCCATGTCCTCTGGATCTAGGTTCCCTCTTGAAAGCTTGTAAGCCAGTCACTTCTTGCCTTTGTAGCCCCCTGCCCCCATTTTGGGTAGCTAATGTCCAAGTTGCCCATCCCTGTCTACTCTGTGTATGGAGGGGGTGGCAATGATCCTTGCTGTAAAAATTTGTACCCTCTTTTGAGCTACTGCATCCATAGGTGTAGGTCTAGTTCATCAAATTGTATCAGTTTCAGTTTACTGTTTTTTTTCCTCTTCTTTCTTCTTCTAGTTGAGCTTTGATCATCCAGTCACTCAAGCCAGGTCAAGTGGATATTATCTGCAAGTGTGGGTGTTCTTGTGAATATGCCCTCTCTTCTTATCAACTGGATGCTTCACTCTCCATTCTAGTCCTCTGTGGCTATGTCACTGACTCTGGGCCCAAGAGTCCCCAGGTCTTGCCACATTGCTGGCCAACCAGGTCTCCACCCAGGTTCACAGGAGTCTATTGAACGTTGTAGGGCTTAGCTCACAGCGTCATTGCTGTTTTCCCCTCACTTCCCCTTATTGTTGACGAACGTGGTCACCATTCAGAGCGTGTATCTTGGAAGGGGGTTTGCTTTGAGGAGACCCGACCATTTGCCTTGATGTCTCCTGGGCAAGCAAGTTGCTTGTTCTTGTAGTAATCAGTCAGTCTGCCTATATCGTTTTGTATTTTGCCTGTCAGTCTGTCTTTCAAGAAGTATCTTCTGTTCTAGGCGCTCCAGGCTGGTCTGCCCATCCTTTCTAGTGAAAATTTCCCACCTCTGAAGATTCTGGATGCTGTTCAGGATTCCACCTATGGTCTTATGTAATGCAGAGGCTCCATAGAAAGCCTCCTTCACTGGGCACGTTGTAGCCCCATTTTAGGTATTCCAATCAGTTATAGGATGAAGACGGACTTACAAGCTTTCTATGGTGATATTTCTGTCTATTCCTTTCTCTCCCCCTCCAGTGTCTATTTTGTAATATAATGCAAGGAAAACCAAGATTCAAAAGACAGCCAACCATCTTAACATTATTTTCCCCCCTTTTCCCCCATTCCAACCATGTCTCAGTCTCTGTATCCCAGAGCCCTGTTGTTCCAAGGCTGTGCATGCATCATTATTTACCTCTGTCCCACTTAGTCCATGCAAACCTGCCTAATTGTTCTCCCATCTGCTTTGTTCTTCCATTCCCCTCTCCCTTCTTGCATATTGCCCCCCTCCCCAGCACCCAAACTATCCTGTGTCTATTCCCTGCCCTATGCTCCACTTTCCCCTCCCTCCCTTATCCCCACCCCCACATCCCAGCAACCAGCAAAGAATCCACTCTCTGTTAGTATGGGTTCTTTTTCTTAGTCTTTTACAGTAGTGGTCCTATGCAGTATTTCTCCTTTTGTGACTGACTCATTTCACTCAACATAATGTCCTCAAAGTTCATCCATGTAATGCGGTGGCTTGCAGCTTCCGTCTTGTTTTTCAAGGTAGCATAATATTCTATTGTATATAGGTACCACAGCTTGTTTATCCATTCTTCAGCTGATGGGCACTTTGGCTGGCTCCATCTTTTTGCTATTGTAAATAGTACTGTGAACATTGGTGTGCATATATATCCACTCGTGTTACAGCTCGTAGTTCTTGTGTGTAAATACCAAGTAGAGGAATTGCTGGATCATAAGGTATTTCTATTCCCAACCTTCTGAGGAAGCGCCGTATTGCTTTCCAGAAAGGTTGGACCATTTTGCAGTCCCACCAGCAATGCAGGAGTGTCCCAGTCTCTCCACATCCCTGCCAGCATTTATTGCCCTCTACTTTTTTGATCTTTGCTGTTATTGCTGGTGTGAGACGATATCTCACTGTTGTTTTGATCTGCATCTCTCTAATGGCTAGTGATCATGAACAGTTCTTCGTGTGTTTGTTGGCTGCCTGGATCACCTCCTTGGTGAATTGTTTGTTCATGTCCTGTGCCCATTTTTAATTGGGTTATTTGTCTTTTTCTTGCAGAGATGTTGTAGTTTCCTATATGTTTTAGAAAGAAGTCCTTTACTGATGTGTCTTTGCAAAAGATGTTTTTCCCATTCTGTGGGTTCCCTTTTTACTCTTCTAGTGAAGTCTTTTGATGCACATAAGTTTTTAATTTTTAGTATGTCCCATCTATTTGTCTATTTTCGTTTGTGTAGTTTTCAAAATGTTTTGTAGTCTGGGTATTCCCTGAATTAGCGCCCTCACATTTGTCCCTATTTTTTCATTGTGGCCTTCATAATTCTGGGATTCACATTTAGGTCTTTATCCATGTTGAGTTGGTTTTCGTATAAGGTGTGAGGTGAAGGTCTTGTTTCAGTCTTTTGCATATCGTTTTCCGGTTCTGCCATCACCATCTGTTGAAGAGACTGTCACCTCCCCATGCAATACATTTAGGTGTTTTGTCAAAAATCAGTTGGCTGTATGTAGATGGGTAAATTTCTGGATTCTCCATTCTGTTCCATTGGTTTATGTATCTTTCATTGTACCAGTACCAAGCTGTTTTGACCACTGTAGCCATGTAGTAAAATTTGAAGTTGGGGAGTGAGAGGCCTCCAACCTTATTCTTCTTCTTAAGCAGTTTTGCTTATCCTGGGTCTCTTTCCTTTCCATATAAAGTTTGTCATTGTGTTTTCCATCTCTTTGAAGAATGTTGTTGGAATCTGGATTGGTATTGTATTATATGTGTAGATTGCTTTGGGCAGTATTTACATTTTCACTATGTTATGTCTTCCTACCCAGGAGCATGGTACATTCTTCCCATTTTTGTAAGTTCTGACACTTTTTTATATATAACTTCAGTATCTGACATTCCTCTACCCCGAGATTAACTGGACCCACCTTGTCTTGTCTAACTATGCCAGTTGGCTATTTCCCAGGCCCTTGAAAAAGTTGTCTTCCATGCCCGATTTTCAGAGAAGGAAACTTTCTATTTTTGTCTCTTGCCATTCTTCACTGACAGATGATCTTAAAACCTTGTACATAAATATCATGCTTCCATCTTGGATCTTAACAGTAAACTACTGTGAATCTGTTTTGGGGGGGATAGGAAGTTCTTTAGGCTCTTGCCCCATGAACTGGTACTCGCCTTTTTCATCTTTTTCTCTCCGCTGTTTTCTTCTTCCCATTTACAATGGGAAGTATATATACATGATGCTTGAATCTTACCTATGCTCCTCTGTAGGCTGCTTTATTTCTGTCTTCTTTCAGGGTAATATTCTCTTAATTCCTTGTTGCCCAAGTCTACTGAATTGTTTCTTGTCACCTAACTCCTAGCTCCATTTTTCATCTGAAACTATTATCTCCGATCAGTGACTTCTCACTCCTTACAAGCCATGCCCTAATCTCCATTTTCCAGACCTCTGTAGTCCTGGTGGGAGTCATGGTATGGCACTGTAGGATAAGGCACTGAACTGCAAGATAAG